TAGTACTCCTAATTTATGTTCATATTTTTATGCTCATTGAGTTATACATTGGGCTACAAATATTATACTATGATTTTTACGGGGCAAATCGTCCTCACACCGTTAAAACTTCCGTTAGTATATATTAAATGCTACCATAATTATATTTAATCAATTATCATATCTAGACTAGAAATCTTACTTTAACAATTAATCATTTCATAATTATTACCCAAATTATCAACTATACTTTTTAATATAATATGAATTTTAGAACTATGAACTAAATGACCTTTTTAAAAAAATTATATTATTATTTTTAAAAAATTATTTCAACATAACTATGACTTTAATATTAAGCATTTATTTGCGTGTAGAAAAGACTAGTGATGTTTATAAATACTTCTTCTCACAAAACACAAAAGGAGGTGTAGCCAGCAAGTCTCAACCCCTAGACCTATGGGAAAGGCTACTAGGCAACTACCAACTAGGCTCTTGGGCAACTGCCCCCTTTGCCAATCTTTCCCTCCTCCCCTGGGTTTTGCAGTTGTATCTGAATTTGTTATTTACACAAAGTAACTAAACGTTTTATGCTGCAGGTGCTTACACCTTCGGTTCTGATCGCTCGTCTAATTAATGCTCATCATCACCTTCTCGCACTGCGAATATCAGAATATCTTGGTATGAATCAGGTAAGTATAGTTCTTACTTTCCTTTTAAAAATAAGGTGTTGCCTTTACTTTGTACATTTAGCCTGTCATTCATTATGATGTAACACTTTCACATTCTTTTACTGGTTCAAGTTCTTTTAATTGTTTTAGTTCCCTCCCAAAGGGGAGTGAAAGTTTTTCTTTTGCTGCAATGCTATTTTCTTTTTGGCTCTGCAGGAAGTTGTAATTATGCACTGGGCATGCACAAAGATTACAACATCCTCTGCAACCCCTGATGCTAATCTTCTGGAAATTTTACTTGATAAGGTTTGTGTTTTGCATTGTAGTCTCAAAAAGGTGTACTGTCAGATCTATCTCCTTGGTTGACCAGAATGAATACTTGAATAGTTTCATGTGAATGCAATATCTAATCTCCTGGGCTTTTGCAATTTTCAGCTTAAGTTGTGCAAAGGCATATCTTATGCTGCAGTTGCTGCCCACGCAGATAAGAGTGGTCGACGTAAATTAGCTGCTCTTCTTGTTGAACATGAACCACGTTCATCTAAACAGGTTTGCTGTTAACTTCTTCCTTGTTACTTCCATTCCTATTTATGAATTGAGTTGTGTTTTTACCTTGCTATTATCTGAAACTTAATTTGAATACGATTCTTTAATTCTTTTTCTTTATTGAGTATTGATTGTTGAAAGTGCCTCCTTTTGGCAAAGGTTACAGCAAGAAACCATCGGATAAAAATTAATGATTGAAAGATTATTCTTTTCAGGTTCCTCTCCTGTTGAGCATAGGAGAGGAAGATACTGCTCTCACAAAAGCAACTGAAAGTGGCGACACGGATCTTGTTTACCTAGTCCTCCTTCATATCTGGCAAAAGGTGTTTTATGAAGTCTAATTTTTATTGCTGATTTTTTAGTCTATTGTTTGTATTTGCCAGTAACTTGTAGCTTTTTAGTTATTAATTATCCATTGCCAATGACATGTTACCTTAGAGACCAGCTTTGGAGCTCTTTGGAACTATACAGTCTAGACCACTGCCACGTGATTTATTTATTAGTTATGCACGGTAAGAAAATGTGAACTTGTACTCACTCTCCATTCAGAATTCTTTTCTCCAAATCTCTGTTAACATTTTCCTACCGTGTTCCATTCGGCTTCAGGCTTTACAAGCATGAATTTTTGAAAGACTTCTTCCTATCTACTGGACAACTGCAGGTTGGTTGATAAGGCTAACCAATCCTCTTTCCTCAAGAAAAATAGTTCTAAATAAATTTATTATTATAGAGTAACTTACTAACTTGTAATGCAGCAATACTTATACTGTCATATTCCTATTCTTTTATCTCTTTGCTCTATAGTTGGAACTTAGATAAGTAAATCAATATTTTAAAGTAGTTAGAAGGTTATTTATCAGGCTCCATGGCAAGTTTTTGAGCAATATTAAGGATGGATCATGTATGTTTTTGAATTTCATTATGATTGTTCTTGTAAATGCATTTCTATGTACTTGGGTTTCATACTTGAACCCCTTGGCACCTGTTACTTAATTTTGTTTATGTATCCAAAAATAAAAAGCCAAGTTGGCACCACTCATGTTAGTATATATTTATTACTTGCAATCCAAAGCTTTCATTTTCTTTACTTAAATTATATATTGTGTTGCATTTAAATTTTCTGGCAGTTATGTTTTGCCACTTGTATTGATTTGAGACAATCATCCTCTTTTTACCACTGCATCTACTGTTTATATTGACAAAGTTTCAATTTTCAGGATGTAGCTTTTCTTTTATGGAAAGAATCATGGGAATTAGCAAAAAATCCAATGGCAAGCAAAGGATCTCCACTGCATGGTCCTCGTATAAAACTTGTTGAGAAGGCCCATGGCCTTTTTGCAGAAACAAAAGAACATGTTTTTGAGTCAAAGGCAGCTGAAGAGCATGCAAAATTATTAAGGTGATTCACCAATTTTAATCAAGTTAGTTAATCATGCCAGTGTGCAGTTCTTTCTTTAGAACCAAGTGGCAGTAACTTTAGTTGATGGTCTAATTAATTAAAAAATAGTGCGGTAATGCCATACTCATAGGTACAGAGGTCAAATAAAAGGTGACGTCATGAGTATTCTATAGAACAAGTGGTTAACAATAGAATCCAAGATATGCCATTTTATCTGAATGACATATTTGATAAAGTTTGCCTGTTAATCTGTTACGGAGTATTATTGATGGATTGTGCAATTGGATGGTGGAACACTGCATGCTGTATTATGAAATGTGGAAAGTTACCCCCTACTTTCGCTCAAGTTTAAAGTATTGTTGGTTGTTATATTCATGTACTCAGACTTAATTATCTCTGCAGGATACAGCATGAGTTGGAGGTGACAACTAAACAGGCCATCTTTGTTGATTCAAGTATCAGTGATACTATTCGTACATGTATTGTTCTGGGAAATCATCGCGCTGCAAATAAAGTCAAAACAGAATTCAAGGTAAGTTCATATTCTTTATTTGTATGGACTGCTGCTTAGGATTTGGTTCCAATGATCAAATATTTTTATGTTTAAGATTGCATTGTGATGACTATGATACTGTTAATATGATCCAGGTATCAGAAAAGAGGTGGTATTGGCTAAAAGTTTTTGCTTTGGCAACTATCAGGGACTGGGATGCTTTAGAGAAATTCTCGAAAGAGAAGAGACCACCAATTGGTAAGTAATTCTAAGCTTGTAATGGTAGGTGGAAACACATTAGCAACTTGATATGGTAGTTTCAAACTTGTGTGCTATGGGTTGCTGTTCCACTTACTCTAATATTGAGGTCAAGATGGTTCCACTATCATGTGCACAAGGAATGCCTGCCCGTTGTGTATGTATCTATTTGATCTAAATTTAAGTGTCATAATAGTGTTAATTGTTGGTCGAATTTGACCTTTGATATCTATAAATTAAACTCAGAACTCATCTTTCCAGACCCACAGAATATCTAGGAAAGCTTGAACCATACTGAAAGCATTTTATAGGTGTTCTGATTCTCTACTTCAAAATCTATGAAGTCAATAAATTTATACTCAGATGCAGTCTGTTTTCTATAAAGTATCAACGGGAGGCTTGCATGAAAGTAACATAAATGAGCAGAGCAATTATCTTTGTATAAAAGAATTGGAGCATGACTAATTGAAACTATGTAAAAACCATTCTTTTTGCCAATTCTAGTTTAAGGAGATATCATATATGCATTAAATTTGCACTTTTTTCTGGGTTTTGATTGGTAGGGGAACTGTAAACTTTAGACATTTCCAGATAAATGTTAAGTTTTGTTCTCTTAGCTTGGAGAAATGCTGAGTTGGGTATGTTGTAACAAACCCTGATCCCTCTAACCTTTCATTGCAATATTTAGGCTACAAACCATTTGTAGAGGCATGTGTTGAAGCGGAAGATAAGGGGGAAGCACTCAAATACATACCCAAGCTGGCTGATCCTCGGGAAAGAGCAGAGGTAAGTAATGAGTTCAAACTGTCAGAAATAGAAATACACACAATTGTTTGATGGACATTGCAATGTCAATGTCCCCATCATGTTCCCACTAAAGAGAAGAAAAAACCGCATTAACATTGGAAGTAGCAAGTTGTAACAAAATTTGATAAAAGGGGCTTTGCCAAACACTCATTTTAGTTGTTTCTTGTGTGAATTGTGAGCAGGCTTATGCTGGAATTGGAATGGCCAAGGAAGCTGCTGATGCTGCATCTCAGGCTAAAGATGGTGAATTGCTTGGGCGGCTGAAGCTGACTTTTTCACAAAATGCTGCCGCTGCTTCAATTTTTGACACTCTTCGAGATAGGTTAACCTTCCAAGGCACATCATAATCCTGTCTCCCCTCTCAGAAGCATCTGTTATCGACGTTGTATGTGTGTTTCCCGTCCAAGTACTTGTTCAGATAGTAAATGAGTGAACTCAAGCAAGGTGAGGTTTTGCGCATTCTTAGATCCAACCAATGAAGTTGATGACTATAATTTTGGTGTCATCTGCCTAGTCTCCTCTCGGTATATGTATGTATATATGCCACCATAGTGGTGCAAGCTATCTTGTCCTTCATTCAACCTTTTCAATTTTATGCTTTGTAGATAGCAAGCATGATTCGGGATGAATATTTATGTTTGTTACATAGTGAGAATTTTCATGATTCCTAGACATTTGACAAATTCTTGTACCCACAAAACTGATTTCAGAAAAAAAAAAAAAAAAAAAAGTTTTCTCACAGGTCAAGTGTTTACTATTTAATTAGTCACATAATTTAATGCAATATTTATTGCAATGGGGCCATTACATGCATAAAAGTCACCATGCAAAGTAGGATTACAACAACACTGCAAACACAAGCTAAGCTAGGCTTGTAATCAAATCAAAATGAAGACAATTTCAGCTCTTAATCAAAACCCATGAGAGTGATGAGTGCCTTATAATTTTTACTCATTAAGGTGAGCGTATACTGAACTTTCGTATTTTCCATCCCACCTGTGATCTTCTGTTTCTGGAATGTTGAGCTCCAATTCTTCTTCAAATGGTTGGAATACTGTCTCAACTTTCTCAACATCAACCTTATCAAGACTTGAAGGATCCCACTAGAGACACAGAGAGAGAGAAGCAGTGAATTGAAGGATGATGTTCTTGATTATAATTAATTGTTTCCACAACACTATAATAAGGTTTAGGAAGAGAGAGAGAGAGAGAGAGCATACTTTGGGAGAGTTATCTTTGTCAATATTGATAGCTCTGATACCCTTCATTTAACCAAAGAAAACATGAATTTCAGATCCAGAAGAAATATTTCATGAATTTGAACCATCTATATATAGTAATCCAAGTACAGGGATGAAGTATACTTGGAAAACTAGAAATTACCTCATACACATCATCAGATATCACTGCCCTTAGAATATTCATTGTTACTCGAAATTCTTTCTTCAGGCATTCACCCAGTGTTTGTTTCCTTCCTTCTCGAATCTGGAAAGCAATAATGCGTTTACTAAAAAATAAAAACATATGCATGTTTAACTGTTTAAGGATCACAGAAGCACGAGTACAAGCATTACCGATCTCAGTGTGATTTTTAATCCTGTTGGGGACGATCTTTTGAGGCCTTTAAGCACACCACGAATCCAATCATTGCCTTCTTTGCTCGCCTCAACTTCCTGATAATAATGTAAGCGTCAATTATTGTTGAACATTACGGGTTACGTTGCAAATCATCACATATTCAATGCCTTTAGTTAACAACTCATACAAAGGATTTTATAATCTCCTCCACAGAATCCTTGGAAAAACACTCATCAATAATGGCCTGCCTGCATGCGTGAAGTAATACATTTGATCTTGCGTGTATATCATAAATAGGGAAACAAAAAACGGAGCATATATAGCTGCGTTAATGTGGGAATGTTACTTGTTCAAGACACTTTCTTCGTCAACTTGAACAGCTATGGAGAATTCCTCTATGGCAGATCTGATAGCATTCTCATTGCCCGTGTTCAAATCTAGCAAACGCTTCTCTAGCTCAGGCAATTTCTGTCGGGCAAAAAGTTAAAAGCCATGCTTATCAATCTACTTAGTGAAAGAGAATGGACGGGGACAATCACAATTCATTCAAAACTCGAGATGCTTTAAATCAAATGAAATGACAGTGTTGAGCATACAGTCATTAATGTGCAATCTAACTATCAGCTTAGGTTTTTAGTTGAGATGGAGCACATGCTTCAATTTGGTAAGTCACTTTGAGCATATAGCCATTAATGTGCAATCCAGTAAAAAGTAATTTCATTCGAGAAAATAACTGAAACTCTAAGCAAAGAACTTACATCCAAAGGTACAAAGTGTGTCGCCATTCCAAGTGCAACCAGTTCTTTACCATTAAGCCTCGCCCCAGTTAACGCAAAATACTCCCCTGCACACAACAAATGTCTTCTCAAATTCTTGTCCTTTTCAATCGAGAAAGCTAGCATAACACATGGTCCAGCGCTATTTTAATGCTTACCAAATCTGCCCGGAAGGCGAGAGTGAATATATGAGAATCCACAGTCAGTATGAAACCCAATACTTGCTTCTGGAGTAGAAAAAACCTAGCCAACAACAAAAGTCAAATGTAAAAATGGACCCGAAAAATCAATGCTACATTTAATGCGAATGTATATGCATAGTTGCATACTTACTGTCTTTTCAGTTACAACAGAGAACTTCATTGGGACCATCAACGATGCACCTCCACCCATTGAAATGCCATGAACTAGAGCAACCTGCCCAGAATCTCACCAGTTAATGTCGCTCGGTGAAAATATTCATTACATAAATGCAATCAAATCAAGATTGTACCTGGGGTTTTTTATAGGTGTGGATATGGTAACAAAGCCAATACATCCGGTAAACAACTTCAAGGCAAGAATCCTCTACATATTCACCAACCAACTTATTTAAGTAACAGAATTAAACAAGTCAATACAATACACAAAAAGAAAGCAATCAAATTTCTTGTGGGGGAAAACGGTTACTTGGTGTCCTGCCATCATAAAACATTTTCAAGTCCCCACCAGCAGAATAAGCACGCCCAGCTCCCTATTGAAAACAATAAATAACATCTCAAAGTACAATCACCATCGGTACCACTCAGATGAATTTAGAGATAGAAACAGCAAAGTATGTAAGATGTGGTTATACTTATAATCATCCGCTTTTCTTTCTTGCACAGACTGTACTAACCTTGAGGATGATGAGAGCTGCATTGTCATCTTTCTCCCATTTTTCCAGGTTTTGAGCCAGCAATTTTACCTATTCAACAGAAAACGAAAATTTACTCGCAAAAGAAGTTGGAGGACCAAAACTAATATAGAATCCAATGGAATAACCGAGTAATGACTTCAAAATGATAATTCTTATATGATTAACGTACCACTTCAGATGAAATGACATTCAATTGCTTGGGACGGTTTAAGGTGATCAATCTAGCATTGCCAACTTCTTCAGCCAGAACAACCTAAAAATACCCAAAAACAAAAATACTAATAATTAATCTAAGCCAGGCCTTAATTCTTGCTAATTAGTACTAATACAAGGATTATCCCAGAAAAAGGGATAATCCCATATCTCATAGGGCAAAAAAATATTCATAGAAATTACCTCTCCATCTAGGTGTGCTGTTTCCTGTGACATCTTCCTAGCCAATTAAGCAGGTATAGCTAACTAATAGCCCCAAATGAAAATAGTAAGAGTGGTTCACAGGTTACAATTACCAGATCAGAGAAAGCAGTTAAATGAAACCAAAAAGACAGCTAAAGAACTGAACTTTAGTACAAATTGAAGCAGTAGAAGAAAAGAGGAGAGTTACAATAATGTTGGAATTCTCGAAACAACAAGCTTACTTACTCACTCCCAGCAAGATGAATTCAACTTGTGAATTTGGGTCTGTTCTGAAATACAGAGAAAACCCCGCAAGATTATGGCAAGAATTCGTAAAAAGAGATTTGAAAAGTTAAAAGTGGAGGAAAGGGTTTTCTTCCACACCTACCACCCTCCACAGACTTGTCTTCAACACCAGAATCAGAGACCACTCTTCCTTTTACCTACCACTCTTAACTACTTTCATGCCCAGGTGTAAATTGTGCATTTATTTTTAGATATTATATTATTATTTTATCATTTATATTTAGTTTATTGTGCATTTATAAACATTTTAATTATCAAAAAATTGATAATCATTGTTCAAAAAAAAAGTATCAAAATGTATAAATACAAGTATATGAACTTATTATAAAAAACGTGTTGAAACCTGCTACCTAGTTTGGTAGGTTATTTGACATTCACCTAACCCTTCTTCCCCATGAAAATCTTGTGTCCTGCAAAATCATTTTCTTCACCAAATATTTAGCAATCATTTTCTTTACCAAATACTCAGTAGTTATTACAAATACACCTACAAAGTTGTTTTTAAATAAATTTGTTATATTTTAAATAGGTCACACAAAATCTTATTTAGTGATATATTCTGTTATAATAGATGACGATTATTCAATATGTTACTAAATAATAACATATATAAAAGTGTAAGACTCAATTTTCACAAGAAGTAAATATGGTATAACTATAGAAGTATAGAGGCTTAACAAAAGAATATTAATAGCTTATAGAAAATTTAATGGGCATAAAAAATGGGGTTTGATAAACCTGATAATTGAAGCAATCTGGTGCATGCTAGGCCTTGGTGTAGTGCAGTGTCCCAATTTGTAGTTGGGTCTGCCTGACTCCTCTGGTGCCAACTAGGAAGAGTGCCAACCATCTTGACAATGCTGCTCCTAGATGGCATCCAGGGAGCCAGGCAGAACACTGCTTCGATTCACCGCTAATTTAAAATCAAACTATCATCGAATCTCATATAACAGAAATTCATATATTACTCGAGAAAAATCGAGAATCTTTAGACTATCTCTTTTAGTGAGAGTGTGGGAGAATAGACTTACTAAATGGAGGAATTTAAAGGGGGTGAAGAAAAGGAAAGACAACACAAATTCTCAACTGGGCTGCTGCCGTTTGATGGATACATAGAGAGGGTGATAAAACCAAAAACTGTGTTTTTTTTCTGGGATTTTAATGAAGTTTGTCCCTTTCTTCTTCGACTTGAAATGGCGGCAAACCACTCCCATCGTGATTATTATATATTAATCAAATGAGATTAAATATTATATCATATTGGAACTCGGCCACGACATGGGACAAAAGACAGTCTTGATGAGTTGTTTGACGGATTTTCTCATGGAAATCTATAAATAATTATATGTTTTTTGGAGGATTTTCCCAAAAGAATTGTACTATTCAACGGATAACATGCACTGTTATGATTCACTTTTAATTTATTTAGTTTGAGGATTATGATAATATTCTGTTTAGTCGCTAGCTTTGTTTGTACGTGAGTCACCCCGGCCACCCATAATACAATTAATTTGAGGATTATGATAATATGCTGTTTGGCTTGATTCTTATGGTTTTTCAGATGATTCCGTCCCTATTTTCGTGGTCCCATGTTTTAAGGCAGATGGTTTATACAGTAGAAAATCCTTACAAGGTTTGATTATATTAGCAGCATGAACTGTATACATACAATCACAGTTTCAAGAAGGAAATAAACCTCGGATTTTATGTACTAGGAAAAGCAAAATGCAAGAATTAGTACAAAATTCCTGTGCAACAGGGAATTAAAAAGGGAGACCTTATATATATCTCCGAAATAATTAAATTACAAAAATAGAAAATGCTCCACCAATCTTGCCTGCCTTCTTTAGCCGTCATCTCATCACACTCTGATCACTTCACCCAGAACCAAACTGGTGGTTTAATGGCTGCAACTTTATTGCCAGTCCTTTATGGAACTCTACATATGGATATGCCATGGCTTCTTCACCTTCTTCCACTTTCCACCTACACAAATTAAAACCACTCACTTTGTTATATATATATCGATACATACTGCACTAGTATCTGCATCCCGCAAGACGAGACTAATATATATAAATCTTGTACATATACTGCACTGGTATCTGTATCCCGCAAAGGAGACTAAATCTCGGGACCAAACCGGAAAAAGTCGATGTACCTGTAGTTTTGTATAAGGTGGTGCAGGAAAAATGCAACCTCAACCTTTGCAAGTTCAGAGCCAGGGCAGGACCTAGACCCTCCACCAAAAGGTGTGAATTTCTTGCATGTTTGATCATCACTCTGAGTTAAAAGACACACACACAGAAAGTAAAAGAATCAGCAGCCTTTCCCCTTATTTCAATTGACTATATGCTTGCTTTTATGTATGCCCGCGCAAACTTAAATAAGAAGTCTCGTGTTCAATTCTCGTCGTTTCGAAAGACAAAATCTCAACTTGCTTACTACCATGTTTTAAAAATAACATTTTTAGTCAAATTATGTTTTACACAACAAAGAATTCCAAGTAATTAAGGTAGGGGTTTAGCATTGTGACCTCCCATCTCCAAGGATTAAATTGCAGAGCATTGGCATGGAGGTTTTGATCCAAGTGAACTGCACTAAAAACTGGTAGGACCTTCCAACCAGATGGAATAATGTAATCTACAAAACACCCCAAAAAAATTAAAAATTAAAAATTAAAAATTAAAAAAATAATAACAAAAATGGGGTAGTTGGAGGATGAGAGGTGAATACAGACCTCTAAATTTGACATCTTTGAGTGCTTTTCGGTGCACAAATTTAACAACATTTCCATATCTAAGAGCTTCATTCATGACCTAACAATTATAACCCCCAAAAAGAAATGCTTAAAATAATATAAAATATTAAAAAATAAAACTGAGTAATCATTGCAGTCTGCAGTTCTGTCTTACCTTTTGACTAAAATCCATTTTTTTATAGTCTTCCCAGTTCAAGAACTCTCCCTTTTTCTTCATGCTCCTTATGCTTTGATGTTCAAGCTACATCACCATAATTTCATTGAAAAGGGAAGTCAAATAAATGCAACAAATTAAATAATTAATTATATTCCTAAAAAATAGAATACCAACTTTATTATTATAGAAAAAAGAAAAGAAAATTGCATGTACCTTTAATTGTTCAAGGGCAGAGGTGGATTGACCAAGAAAATAAACAACCATGGACAGCAAGAGCGAGGTGGTCTCATAACCACCTAGGAGAGAATCTAGAACAAAACTAATCTTTTCATCTTCAGATAAGGTATCCACATATAACAGTATCTCAAGAAAATCATTCTTTTTACTGTTATGATCTCCAAGATGCCTTCTCCTTCTTCTTTCCTCTATGATTGCTTTGACAGTGGAAGATATTCTACGTCTAGCCTGTAAAGATGTAATGGAGAAAAAGTTCATCACATGCCTCTTCTTTTCTTCCCACAACAAAAAGCATTTCCAAATTATATTATATTAAACCTAGCTTTCATAGTTAATACCCAAAAAAAAAACCACTTTAATTATGGTTTAATGTTTTCTTGGCTTCTTGCCCACAAAGACAAATTCTCTCACTCTTACACTGAAACTGTCAAGACTCGATTTTGCGTCTTTGCTCACAATTTGTCACCAGAAACCAACTGAGATACCTGTGCGGGCCGGTTTAATTTAATGTTTTTTTTATTAAATCAAAATTTTAGTGAGATATGAGGAGAATTGAACCTGCACAGCTCTTGCATATGGAGTGCCAGGTATGTGGAGTGGCAAAGAGATAAGGCCTCTCATGAAAGTCAGGAAATCTTGAAGAATCTCAGTAGTCTGTGGCTCTTCTGGGGTTAATCCAAGAACTTGCTTTACTATTACATTGAATGTAAACTGTAAAACACCCAACAAATTAAAAAAACATCATTCTTCAGATCACTGAAAGCAGCTAGCTAGGAATGAGATTAAATTAAATAAAATTACCTTTCTTGATTGTTCCCAGAATATGACTTGGTGCATATCTTTCCAGGAATCAAGAATGTGGAGGGCAGCAGTCTCAACATCATTGAGAAACTCAGGTTTAGATTTGGTGGTGTTGACAAGGGAAAGGGCAACATTTCTGAGCCTCTTATGGGTGTCTCCCACAGCAACCAGCATAGAGACTTTTCCCAGGATGCCATGGATGGGCTTGGGATAGCTGCACTGGAACAGCTTATCCTCATTTTGCAGGATGAAGTAATTGAGGTCTTGGTCACATGAAACCACTGTGGGGGAGAAGAAAAGATGGGATTTGAACACTTTCCCATACCTACATAATAATCAAAACCCCAAAAAAGGAATTAAATTATAAAAGAGGGCACATGCATGCATGTATGTATATATGTATATATATGTACTACTGCACAATTACATTAAAAGTAGTAAAACTTGAGGCCATCCAGGGTAATGGCAGCTTTAATTTGTGATGATGATCGATCATGTTTTCCAAAAGAAACATCATAATTATATATATTCATTCCCCCCCACGTTATACTTACCTAGAACAATGATCTTGCAGGAAAGAACCAATAGAGTTAGAAGGGTGAGGCTTCAAAAAGGCAAGGGTTTCTCCCAGAAGAGGCCACCCAAAAGACCCCTTGGGCACAACCCCAAGCCGCAGGAGCCATGGCAAGAAATGGTTCAACATCATTCCCACCAAAAACCCAATCACAATACTCACCCCCCAAAACCACCTTTGATCTCCAGCCATCACACCCAAAAATTCAACACTGCTCTCTATATATTTATATCTGCAAACTAGCTAGAATGGAAACTATGGTTTTCTGATCTCTCCTCAAAGGGCTTCTTGCTTTTATGAAGGTGGCATTGACCGCCTATATATAAGGGGGGGATGGGGGTGGGGACTGGGGAGTGAGAGTAGTGGAAATGTTAAAACTTAAAACTGAGGGAGAAGAAAGGTTGGTAACAGTAATATTACTGTAGTGTGTTTAATTTACAGCAGGGGAGCAAACAGGCTTTAAATTTCTACAGTGAAAGGGAATTAAATGAAATCAAAGTAGCATAGCTTAGCCTTAGCTAGCTAGTCTGAGATCCATGTACCTCTCTCTATTCGATCTATATCACACACATCTAGCTACCCCAAAAATGTATATCCTACTGCCTACTACTACTAAAGTACACAACCATTTATTCAGGATTTCAACAACCAAAAAGTATTGTGAAATTATGATTTTTGATACTCACCCTCAAAAAATTTAAGAGAAGTCAATTGCCCCCACACCGCATATTCCAGCTCGACTAGATTGTAGAATAGTAAATTATGGTGATTCAGTAACTTTTTAAGTAGAGGGATTAATATTTGATGTTTAGCCAAAGACGTTGTGATCGAACGATATAACTGTGACCCCTCAAATGAGAGATCTTAGATTTAAACTTTGGGGACATTCAAAAAAAAATATTGATGTTTATAAAGAGCCCACCATATTAGATGATCACACTATAAATGTCAGGAGTCAATCCGCAATTTGTTTTTAGATACTTTTTATGAAAAAAATAAAATTATAATAGTCATATATATATATATATATATATATATATATATATATATATATACACACACACACATCATAATGCACGAAGTATTGTATTATGAAAGTTGCTTTTCACCCTTGCATCATATTATTTATTTTCATATATTACTGGTGAATTGGCTTCTTATTCTAAATTGATAAAGAATTTATGTTTTTAGTAAAAAGAGAAAATTTTATTTTTTGGTCGTAGATTTATAAATGTTAATTCACTTTAAGTCTTTTTTTATTAGAACATTCATTTTTGGTCCTAGTATTATTATTGCATGACCATTTTTTGTCCTTTATCAACAAAATATTTAAATATAGTTAAATACAATAGCATTTTGGACCTCAATTATGATTTTTTTCAAAAAACAATAAACAAAAAAATATAGTAGTTCAACCTACTTTGTATAAAAAAGATTGAAATATCTTTGTATTTAATGACATTTCAAAGATTTTGTTGAAGGAGAACAAAAATTGGTTATGTCACAATAATACTATGAAAAGCTAAGGACTAAAAGTGTACTATCACCTATAAATCTATGACCAAAAATGGAATATATATATATATATGCCAATGAGAAAGTTATAAAAAGAAATAATTATAAGCTCTTTAGCAATCTAGCATGGGTAAATTATTCTGTGGACCCGGGTCCAAATGTTTACATACTAAATGTTCACAATTTATCTTTTAAAAATTCACAATTTGTATATTATGAACACACAATGTTAATATATATGTAATTGGTTACTTTGTTTTGTATTCACAAGTTCCTTTCAAATACTGCAGTCACACAATATTAACTAATGAAGATTTGATTACTTTATTGTATTTACAAATTTCCTTGTACAGTTGTTATGTGTTTCGACTTAAAAACACAATTTATATTATAAATATTCACAATTCTAATACTAAAAATACATTATTTATACATCGTTTAAGATCAATGTCCACCTTACAAGGTGAACCCTGATCCATGGTATCTAGCATGCCTATTATGTTATGCTTTGGATTCCGATATATACATTCCTTAAATAATATTAACAAAACAAGTAATTTTATTTAAAAATACATTACCCTGACAACCTGACATCTCAAGAATTCTTAATTTTTATGGTCAAAATAGACTGATAGATAAAATGACCCATATAATTTAACTCATTTTGTAGCACATCTAATATGGTTGACCCATTATTTAACTATTTTTTAGCACATCTAATATGACTCGGAAGTCGGAATTAATATATAGAGATTAAAAAATCGTCTAGATCTCCTCCCATCCCGTTTCTTCAAATTTTGCTAATCTTATTCAGCTGCAATCATTATCTCATGAACCATGATCTACACATTTGATTTGTATAAACTATAAATAAAAATACATTTTTTAATATACTAAAACTGTAAAAATACATATTTTGTATACATAAATTACATGATTTTTTTTATATATTATCAAATAATATACATTCAATGGTTCAATACACAAATAATGTATTTTTAGTATATTATTAAAATATATATTGCATTTATGGTCTACACAGCTATGTAGACCATAATCCACACAATAATTTGTCATTCAGTTGTCACTTAGTATAGGTGTGAAATGGACGAATTAGCTCAAAGTCTAATTTAAATATAACATGTTTGGATCAAATTAATCTGGTCCATTTGCTACAATCGACGGACTGGGGCTAGTCCATTTTATACTACAGACAAAGCTGAACTTTAATTTGGGTTCATGGACTAGTTCGATCTTATCCTCCGAGCTCAATCGTTATACCATGCACCAGGGCGCACATAGCAATGTGCATCTCGCGCCTCCAAAACAACGTCGTTTTGGTAAGTTCTGTATTTTCAGGTATAAAACTCTGTGCATTCTAATATATAATTCTATACATTCGAAACATGGGAATTTTCAGGTATAAAATTTTGTGTTTTCAGGTATAAAATTCTATGTTTTCAGGTATAAAATTATGTGCATTCTATTATATAATTCTGTACATTCGAAACATAGAAATTTTTGTTATAAAATTCTGTGTTTTCAGGTATAAAATTCTATGTTTTCAAGTAGAAAATTCTATGTTTTCAGGTATAAAATTTTGTGTATTCTATTATACAATTTTGTACATTCGAACATGAATTTTTTTTTAAAGAATTAACAGCAGACACGTAAAAAGGTCCAAAACGACATCATTTTGGACCAAAACGCACAATGTTGTGCACCCTGGTGCACGGTATAATTTGCCCTCCGAGCTTGAGACAACAATTAATAATAGAATAATGGAGAAATATAACCTCTACTCATTTTATTTAAAAAATTTAATTCAAAACAACTAACATATGTCAAAATTCTATTATCATATCAGATAAATGTTATTTAAAAAAAAAAAAAAAAAAAAAAAAACTTTCCAAAGAGTGAATATGATCAAAATTTTCCTCTCATCTATCCAACACAAGTTTCTTCATTTAAATTTGTACACATTCAAAAACAGCATAAGTATGTTGGGTGCTGGGAAGCCTCAGCTTAGAACCCGTAGAGACAAAGACATTACCCTCTATTTATATCTCACCACTCAAAAAGTGAATTGCTGTATGTACCTCCATTTGTGCAATCCTGTTTGAGTGAGTTCATGTTATCAATCTGGGAATAATTAAACTTGTTGCTGCTGGTGAGGTCATGACTACTTGGATAAAAATCATGATTCTGGACATACCTTTGCCCTGCCCTTTTCTCTTGGAATTGAATACATTATTACTTATGTCTAATTTTATCCTACAAGCTACAATAAGTGTGTCTTATTTTTGTCTCAGTAATTTTGTTGCTAAGTTGACTTTAACTAATGGGATTCTCAGTGTATGTATGTGGGATATTAGGAATGTCAACTATTATATTGCATGTTGAAAGATGAATATTTTAAATGTTTGGATGTTATGCTGCATTTGGACATTTACAACTAACACTTTTGGTTCACATAATAAATTTTAATAAAATATGAATTTTTAATTAACAATAAAGCCCACAATCGCTACATGAAATTAATTAAGGTACACTTTGAGTAAAATCCGCCTTTTAATTTAATCGATATAAAGAACTACTAGGGACTAAGCTAGGGAGTCTATAAAACGTACTTTTAAAGAAACATACTTTTTTTTCTTTCCAAAAAAAAAAAAAAGGAAACTCTTAATTTAAAGGCTTAGTCTGACTTTGCCCAATTTAATTTTTAATATATAATTATATATATCTATGTTTAATAGGAAAAACATTACATAAAAATCAAGCTAGCAAGATCATTGTTCTACTATATATCTAAGTTGTAATGTGCTATTTCTTATTCTTTCTCACCATCCAATTTTGTTGTGTGGTTTGAGATATAAAATGGATAGCTTATTGCTTGTGTCATTGAGACAAAAGACAAAAACTAAAGTGTCGCATGTGTGACAATAATGGAGACGACATGATAACTTGAAAAGGAAAATGAATAGATCATAGAAATGCCATCCAACTCGAAAGCAAAAGTTGATAGTAATAATCTTCATTGCTTCTTGTTTTTTTTTTTTAACCATCATTTATGCATAAATTATTAAGGGTAAATACAAAAGTGCAATTAATATGTCTGCTTATTTTTTAGAAACAAGTTAAACAATAATTATTTCTATTTTCAATACTCAATTATTATGATATTTTTCATAAATTATATAACATATAATATAAATATTTTGATGCAATATATATATTGCTGTTTGCATACTCCAATTTGATTGATATGGTTACTGGGTCCCAACTTTTTTAGCTTTTGGTACCCTTCCATGGCAACATCACTGACTTTTTGTTGTCAATCAACTTGTGAACATTAACAAAAGTAAGGGCGAAAGTATAAATACGAAAAAGCAGGCGGAAAGTTTAGAATATAAAAGAAAATGTGGGGCATATGGGAAAAAGGAAAAAATAATTTAGTTGTGGAGTGCACAATATTACGGTACACCAGTTTCATAAAATCACATTCACGTGCGCTTCTTCTTGTATACTTGTCATATAAACGTAACTTTTCCTTTGTCAGTGTCAGACTTAAGTTTTCTGATGAGAAATGGTACTCGGTAAAACTTTTTCATTTTTCACACCAACCATCCAAAATAAGCAAACGACTAAAAGTAATGATACATTTTCAATTCTTAGGATTCAATATACTTATTCTTATTTATTTTATGTGTCTGATTTAAATAAGGAGACTTTAGTAAAATTATTTACTCCATCATTTGTT